TGGAGGTTATACGTATATCCATGGTAATAAATGCCTAAAACAATTTACGTAACAAGTAACATACGAGGAACTCAACTTGCTTGCTACGCTTTCGCTAGAGTTTATCGACCACCCCAACGAAAGGTAGTCCTCATTAATGTTGTCGGTTGTTAGTTATCTACGCATAGTAGTATGTTTACGAATTGGGAACATGGCATTAATCTTTAATCTTTAACTTACGTTATAAGGTAAACTGAGAATTAACCTTCACGAAAAGTCTACTAGATAGATACCAGACTATAACGACATGCCTTGGCTGGTAGTCACAAAATAATATCCTAATCGGACATACAGAGAGAACTCTAGGGATATTGAATTAATAATGTGAAAGAAACAGTAAAAACTGCATATTGTGACAGTTTTTGGCTGAGGCCGTTTTTCTTAACGTTTCAGTTTAAAGGCATAAATAAGTCCTGGTGAAGTTTTCTTTCTAGAGTGACGTTAAGATTACAACAACGCACAATATGGATTGGAAGATTCAAAAATCACATTGCACTTGACGTACCTATGATTTGGTACAAGTTTCCCTTCTGTTACATTCTGTAGTATTGTGGTCCCCGTTATAAATTCGACTTAGCTTTGACGGATAATCGCTCAATTGCGTGCACGGCTATGAATTCTTATTTTGTGTGGCCTTTGCCATAATTATGTTTATTGAGTGGACCATTATGGCATCGATGGCTACAGTTGTTACTAAAGCTTTATTATAATTAAGTACTCGAGTAACGTTCAAGCGCAATCTTTAAATAACTAACTTTGACTGATATAGTGAAAGTAGTCTACAGCTTCATTGTAACGTGTTATTCATCAATGTTATTAGACACTGACTCGCCTGTTACAAATTTGGAGTGAACATTTGTCGTTAAAAGCTATGTTTTTGTTGTTATTAACGTTAAACTGCTATTTATGTTTTACGGAGCTCGATACTTACTCTATTTTACGCTCGTGGGGCACTTAGGGTACATAAGTATTGTTCAAATACTTATTTACTCCCTCGGGTAGACTGTAGTGCTTGAGTTTTGGGATCGGGCAGAAATAAGTCAGTGAGTTTCCCATGTGGTCACATTACACAAGATTAAATAAAGATAAATAAATAATTGAATATTTTCAACAGAATATGGATTTTTAGCAGATTTTCTAAATTATAGTAAAAAAACTGTTGAATATTATTTTCTGTCAAACTCACACGGCCTACGATTCCCAGTCACATAACGCCAAACGCAAACTCCAATAACAAATTTCATTCCCCTTTGGCGTGCCTTTGCCGGGTAATTAATTTCGAAGTCATTAGAGTTTAAGCACGACTGCAAAAATTATTATTTAGTTATTCGAAAAGTTTTCGTTTACTGCATTATTAGTTGCCGTCATTACTATTTAGAACTTATCCTATGTATTAGGTTAACGTTAATGTGTTATGTATAGTTTGACTGCATAGTAAAATGAATAAGGACATTATTTTAATTGATGACGAAAAATAGCTACATAACTAAAGATCTTTTTAATGCATATTTAGTTTAAAATCGTTACTATATATTATATAGCAATATTAATATCATAAATATTACATACATAAAAACATAACAAAATATTACATAAATCCAGATTAATACATTCATGTAATATTTTAAAATAATAGATCCGGGGTTATACAATCATATGTTAATCAATTTAATTTAAAACTATTTACAATAAACTATAGCGTTAGCAATTATAATTGATAGAAAAAATTAACGAAAAATATTTCACTGCAGCAGGAATCGAACCCACGCCTTCTGGGTTCATGCGCAGACGCTTTAACAACTAAGCTAAGCGGCTGATTGCCACTTACTAAAATCTCAATCTATTTTATGTACATTGTTATTAAACTTAACAATTTTTGAGGTTTGTGATATAATTAGGTATATTAACAAACAGTATACTTTTGAATTAATAATTATATAAATTTAGGAAATAAGAGGTTTCATGTGTAAAAGTGACGTTTTCCTACGGAAAATGGCAATCAGTAATGTGTCACAAGATCACATAAACACATTTATATAACGTTGTTCAACGGAACATTTTAAAAAATAATGGGTCACACGTTCATTTATAACGTTGTTCTACTAAAAACTCAGAAAATATGTATGATACAAACGCATGTAGCACTGTTTTCAACGCAAAAACCATAAAAAGTGGGTGACTGTGCAATATTAACTATTGACTCTAATAGAGTATTTTACACTCGTCTATTACATTAGTAAGCTTAGTCTAGTCATTACAAAAAAACAGTGTCTAAACGTACATATGTCCTTGTACTGCGGAGCATAAATCAGATAGAACGTTGTTCTATTCTGAATCTCAATATCTATAAGTCAGACGAAAAAAAAATTGATGTCTTCTGAAAGCGTAGACAATAATTAAGACTTTCCGATGATAAAATCAAATTCATTCTATGTGACCACAGAACGTTATTTTACGCACGGTGCGAATTGGTGATATATCATACAGCTTTAAGCACTGGATGCATCTTTTGAGGATTAAAAGTTTTTTTTTTTAAATAAATTTGCTTATAATCTTTTAATATCGATCTTTGTAGATTTCGTTTGTATAATAGAAATAGAAGAATTAGTTGGGTAAGATAATTTTATTACGTGTAGGCAACTCACAGTTCTAACTACGTTGGAATATGTTTTTTTACCGCGCGCCTTATAAACTAGTTTTTACATCGAGTCGACCTACATTCATGTATATTGGTGAATTTGGGCCAAATAAGTATAGCGATAAAAACCCTAAACTTGCTCACCAATTTTTTTGGGATGTCTAGGTTAGTCTTATTATAAGTTTACTGGCCCATTAGCTATAACAACACTTTTTAAAATGTATATGGGATATGCTTTTCTTATAACTTCTTAGTTTTTCTTCTTACTCGTATCTTTAAATACCTATATATGTAATATATATAAGATATGAAAAGGGAAACAGCTGTCAACAAAAATTAGCGTGTGTGCACCTTATAAATATAGAACATACATATGAAGAACATACAAAGGGCTACGCACCAGCCTCGGCTGTTGCACGAATGGGCAAGCTCGTCCGGGTAAGTACTACGAACTCACAGAAGACCAGCGTCAAGTAGCAGATTAATACTTTCGCGTTGCGTCTGGTGAGTGAGGTAGCCGGAGCCGAGTTTTCAAAAGGTTGTCAACGCATCTGCAACCCTCGGGTGTAGCAGATGTGGGTGGGTGGCGGCATTTACTTAAAATCAGGTGAACCGCCTGCTCGCTTTTAACATAAAAAAAATCTAAACGCTTCAAAACTTGGACCTACGTTCAGAGATCCGGAAATCAGGCCCAGGCTATCTATGATTAAACATAGATTAAAAACTGATCCAGTCTCGAAGAAACTGGGCACTCGTGCCGCACGTGTCCGGCTTTGTGAACGCATGCGTACCCGTGAGATATGAGCCGAGGTGGATAAGCGTAATGGATAGGGATTCCGCAGGAACAATTGAGTGTCGTTGGAGTACGTGTGATACTTTTTCGGTTAAAAGAGGTGCTACTTAAGGTTGATTGTAAACCAGAATCTCTCAATAGGGTAACGTCCTGAAAAACCAGTAATTGAAAACCACAAGAGTGAAACAATATTTTTTATCCTCCGAAGCATAAGAACATCATATGGACTAATATATGCGTCTGATATATATATTCCTAATCCTTTTAATTTTCATTGTACACACCTACCTATCCTAATCCTTTGATTACTTATTTATTGTTAATTATTACCAAATGTTTACTGGGAGAGAGCTCTGGTTAGTGTTCAGCTCGCCTTTGTACAGTATTGTTTTTAATCCTTCATTTGCAACTTTTTTTTTGTACATTATGAATAAGAATATAATGTACCTAAAATATTTAGATGTAAACATGAATTATTAATTTTTTTAATATAAATCTATTACAATTTAAATCACGAGAATAAAACTATGCCTGAATTTGGTAAATGAGTTACTGAAACTCTGAAACTTTGTGGTGGCAGTCTGAAGTTTGGTCTTGTCCTATAATAATTGCATTTGCAAACAATTTACGAGTCCGATTAGCTTTATTTTTACTTATAATAATATAAAAATAGCAAGCGTAACTTTATGGTAATGAATTATAAAATTAAAATAAGTAAACTTTCATCACTTAGTCAATCGGAAGTTCTTTTTATTAAATCCTTATAAAAATTATATATTGGATAAAAATCGTTCAGACATAACTTATCCAATTATAGTTGTATTCATATATATAACATAAATGAAACCACAAATACTTCAGCGTAGTAAATGACAACATCGCTTGGCTTTCCGACTATATATAAAGGAAATAGCTTTATTGTCCATAAACTGACTAGCTCTTTTGTTTCAAACACGGAAACGTTAACTCGAAACGCGATTGTAAATCTTTTGTTACTTCTGATCTTCGTTGCACTTTAATAGAAGTTATAACTTTTGCTTCGAGGAATAATATGCCTGTAACGAAATCACATCAGTTGGATACCAATAAAATTTTGTCACGCAAGTGAAGTTTTACAATCAAGTTTATTATTTAATTGTGTTTAACTATTTCGTAATTCTTAACTTATTCCACAAGCTAACTACGGTAGGATCACGCTTCTGTTATGTTGCATGAATGGGCAGGTCAGTCCGGGTAAGTACCACAGAAGATCGGCGTAAAGTGGAAGTGTCATACTTTTGCGTTTCGTCTGGTGAGTAAGGTAACTGAGGTCTACTTTATTAAAAGGTGGAAACGCATCTGCAATTCTACTAGTGTTGCAAATGTCCATGGGCGGCGGCTATTCCTTAACATCAGGTGAACCGCCAGCACGTTTGCCACCTTCTCAAATAAAAAAATCACTTAAGGAAGTAGCCAATGTGCAAAGTTAGTTGTTATTTCCAAACTAATTTAATACTCGGAATTTAAATGTTATAAACTTTTAAACTTTACCATATTCAGGGCACGTGATACAAATCACCACCGCGAGAAAAAATCCAAACACTTCGCCGTCAACGAATTTGCCGGCCATTTTTCTTCTTAGTTCTCAACCGACGCTAGCATTCACGAGCATTGTCATTTTCTCAGTGGAGCTGATCTTCTAAATGCTGCATCGATCTACGTTCAAGGTGTATTCTGTGTTAAAAAGTTTTGACAGCATTATGAATGCTGTAGGTCTTCTATTGCCATTCAACGTGAGCGGCCCGGTCGTTGCATCTGAAACAAGAGACGAATTTAAAAAACTAACCGTTCAAATGTCAAATCGTTCGTTCGAATGTCTACTACGTAGACATTTTTTGAATTTAGTACAATAAATAAAGTGAACTTAATAATATTCTGATAATTAAATGGCAGGCGGATTTAAGTTAAAAACTTCTATTGGCATATTGGGCAATTTTTGATGGGGCAAAATTCATTGGTTTGCGTCACCGTCGTGCTGATGTCACGTGTTTTGTCATTGACATTGGTGTCAATGACCTTAAATTTGACATAATTTCATTTTCGAATTTTTGATCTCTGTTAAACCTAGTTGTTCGATAGTATTTTTATCAAGCACGACCCGATTGGCGTAGGGAGTAGTGAACCTGCCTTTTACGCCAAAGGGTGTGGGTTCGTTTCCCACTACTGGAAAAATATTGCGTGATGAACATAGTAGTGTTTTTCACGTATCTGGGTGTTTATATATGTATGATATGTATTTATTAACAAAAGAAATGTATATTTAAGTATGTTTATCAGTTTTCTAGTACCATGGTACAAGCGTTGCTTATTTTGGTTCTAGAGAACGTTGTGTAAAAATGTGTCCGAAATATTTATTTACTTATTTTGAAATTCAAATTCTATTAATTTGTATTAAAAAATTAATTACTCAAAATTATTGCTTATTTGTTTAAATTCTTAGAAATAAAATACTTCTTTTTTATTTCTGAAAATTTGAACAATTCTTTTTTTTCAGTTAGGTTTAAAGAATTTATTCTCAAAAAAAACACAAAGTTTTACATAAAATTCGATACATATTACAAGATACGACATATAGTTCATTTTAACCTCTTTAGCATTGTAGAAGACAAAAGCAGTAATATTACTTTGGGGGTAGATGAAAGTATAAAATATCAATAAGCAAGTTGCGTTAAGGGAGAGGTCACATTAAATTAGTACAATATAATTTTATAAATTAGGTACATTACAAAACAACAAGAATAAAGAAGAAACGAAAGAAAGAATATATATATATATATATATATATATATATATATATATACATGTATATATGGTCTATGTACTGGAGTTTTCTTACAAGTAGTTCTTAGGTTTCACTTTATAAATATTTATTTTTAATAAAAACTGATATAAATAATATAAACTCTTTTAATTCATTAGGTAAGTTATTGTAAAGCTGTACTCCCTCAAATAATACAGTTTTCCTTCCGTAAGAAGTTCTTACTCTTGGTAAGATTATTTTAAAGAAAGAAAGAAAGAAAAGTTTATTTGGTACATATATAAATCGTTTACAAAAAATAATTTTATGTTTATTTCTTAATTGTTGGGCGAATTCGTGTTTTTGTAGTTGTAAATTTGAATGAATGTCCTTAGTAGTAATTTTTTAATTAAAATGCAAGTAAAATATGTATATAATTGCCGCAGATTAAATAATTTAGTTTTTTTATACAGTTGTACTGTTGGTGTAAGGTCACTACTATAGTTATATAATACTTTTATAATCTTATTTTGTGTACGTTGCAATGAGAGTAAATTAGTTTTAGCTGCCGATCCCCATACTTCGATTAAATAGTCAAGGTGTGGTTTTACCAAAGAGTTGTATATAATAGTCCTTACGTGGTTTGGGATACAATTCGTTATACTGCGTAATACTCCTAGTACCGATATAAGCTTTGTCCGGATATGCTCAATGTGCGGCCGCCAAGACAGCCTATCGTCAATCAACAGCCCAAGGTATTTTTCTTGATTAGACTGCAATATGATCTCATAATTTATAGTAAGTGGGTTCATCTCTGGGATACTTTTATTTTTAGCAGCAAATACCATAGAATGATGTTTTTGAGGTATTGATTAAGCTATATTTTAGCCACTCATTGAGCATATCTAAATCTTTTTGGGCGTTAGCTATAATATTACTCATCGATTTATCGAAGTAAAATAGACATGTGTCGTCCGCGTACAGAGTTAGGTGTCTTGTAAGTCCTATTCTTTTAATATTATTTATGTATATCAAAAATAATGTAGGACCGAGGTTTGAACCCTGCGGGATTCCAGATGTCACTATTTCAGCAGTACTAGTAAAATCATCAATTTTTACTATTTGACAACGATTTTGCAAGTATGATGAAAACATATCAAGAGCGGTGCCTACGATTACTTATTTTCTAGCTTCTGGAGTAGTTTTTGGTGACTTATTGTATCAAAGGCTTTTTTAATATCGATGAAGATGCCTAAAGCGACATTTCTTTTATCAATGTGGGTTTTTATCTTTGTCACTAAATCAATAGCAGCCGTGAGTGTACTGGATCTAAAGCGAAAACCATACTGTTCATCAATCAAAACTTTTTTGGCGGTCAAATAATTGTTTAAGCGGATGTATATGACTCGTTCAAAAATTTTAGACAGTACTGGCAAGATTGAAACTGGTCTGTAATTACTCGAATCGTCTCTGGATCCCGATTTATATATAGGACTGACCTTAGCAACTTTGAGTGTGTCGGGGAAAACCCCGAGCTTTAAACAATTTTATTTATCGCTAAGCTATTAATAACCTCCCACATTTTTTTTTTCGGATTTCTACGGCTGTTGTAGAAAAGATTGTAGAAATAAATACTTTTGTATGTATTGATGAGCCCCTTAACTTTATTCTTCTCCTGAGAAAAGTTCTTATAAACCTTTTCATCATCAGGTTTAAGTTTAGATTCCTTCCATAATTAATTCCCTGTGTTTATTGCTTTGATAATAGTTTTGTTTATCCAGTCCTTCTGGGGGGGATTTAGAATTGTTGTTTTCTGTATTTTATATTTTCTGTATATTGTTTACTGTAGTTCGTAATTTAAATTAGTGTTAGGGTTTTTAATTGTATATGTCTATGAGATTAAAACAATGCTATCGTACAATATTCCCTATAATATATACTTCTGTGTTTAAATGATGTTATATAACATTTATATTCGTTTTCACATGGTTACGTATTTTTTCATCGATTAGGAATAAGGCCAAGGTAGTCGAATGGATTAATGATTTGCGTTCAAATCAGAAATCAATTCATTTATTTCTAGAAATTGAGATTCCCTTTTTTAAAGTTCTTTTTATCTTCGTTTAGGCATGACCATAAATCATCAGTGGCTTGTTTCGTAAGACGGCGGTTTGAAAAGATTTTTCTGTGTATTGCCATGTTGGTTGTAAAGTATTTATCAATTTTTACTACATTTAATAATTATACCCAGATGTAATTTTAATGTAATCAAAAAGTTATGCCTATTTCCTATAAAAGATAAAAAACGAAACAACGAAAGACTGAAAATTATAAAAAAATATTTGCGGACAATAAAATAAAAAAATACGGACAACAAATTTAAAATAAAACTTTATTTTAGACTATCGTGAGAACAAAAACTCTAACAATAACCAATACAAATGTTTAATCTCAATGAGCAACGTACAATTATCTGTTAAACATGTTACTACTGGAAATGACCTGAAAAGAACGACGTGTAATGTACAAAGGCGTCCGAGACAGAAATTGTATTGTACATCGGGCTTTATGTTCGCCGCGAGTGTTGCCCGTGTTTACCGGCTCCTATACACAATTCTCTGTCGTGTCACCTAATTAATAGCGCTTCTTGCACACTGTTGTTCCACGTCATTTCTATAGTGAAATGTAGCGCAAATATTTATGGTGTTTGCTTGGCTCATTTTCAGCGCGCGGCAAACGATGTTTTTGTATCGTTAGGGCACAGAAGTCGTATGAGCTTACAAAGATAACTCGACAAATATTCGTAATGTTTTTATGTCAGAATGGGACTGCGCGGGAACCCAAAAAGATTTCAAACCGCAGGAGTAGTACATGAAGGAATTTTTTAATTAAAATTATATAACATTTAAGATTTCAGTGTAAACTCACAGCCGTCGCATGTATCAGGTAATTAAGATGTTAAAGAGTAAGTTGATTTTCTTTGAACAGTTTTACCTCACAAAATCACTGAGTTTATTAATAATATAATAACACAATAAAATATGAACATATGGGCCTAGCCTTGGTTCTTATCAATCAATATGCGAACTTTTATGAAAACTTTAAAGAAAATCACATCTCTTAAGCAATTAATAATAAACAGGTTAAAGATATATTTAAAAAAAAAAACAATAAGAGGAAGAACGGCAAGAAAAGCTAACAAACACCCACGAAACGATGGGGACCCGGTTCGTATCACGAACATTTACACTCTTATTTTTTTTAATTCTTTACTTTTTTTTCGTAATTTGTTTTTTGTGTTATTTTTTTTCCCTTTGTTTAGAATTTTATTTACTGTAGCAACACACTAATAAGCAAAGCACATGCATTATATTAAAAGAATTTAATCTGTTTCCGCTTTTCAAATTGTATCCACGATTCTTAAATTTGATTAATCCAAATAAAGTAATCAAAATTATCCCGAAAATGCGAATAAAATAAGGAATTTCTGATTACTCAAAGAGACAGCAAAATCCTATCATTTCTTCGCCTTTCAGGCTTTTTCCAATTTGTCTAAGATGTTAATGCAAAGGAAACAAGATTATTTCACTTCAGTTGCCACCGTTGGTTAATGTTAACAGGGTATATATATTATATACTCGGATATTTGATTATATAAATGTTTATAACTTTACCTTGTGTTTTTAATTAGTTATTTAATCACTAAAGATTAATGAAAGTAAACAAACTAAAATCAAATAACATGAATAGATACAAGAAAAAGTAATCTACCCGATCGCCATCAAGTAAAAATCACCTATTTCCGTCGGTTGTAGCCTGCCTGTTGTATTGGC